TTTACTATATTACTTCCTATAACTATGCTTTCAGGTTTTTTAGAGTGTATTCGATGTATTTAAGCTACTGTATTCATGAATACAGTAGCATTTCTAGGCGTGAAACAAGGGATTACAGCTAGACAGATTTTTGTATTCGACTCTATTCAACTGTATTCATCGCGTGAAACAGAGGATTACAACTATTTTTAAACGAAAAGTGAATCAATTAACATAATAGACTCCTAATATAACTCAACAAACTCAATTATAACACACAAATTTTGTATTTCCAGTTATAAAAAAAAATTCTCAACCGAAAAATACCCCAAAAATATAGCAATCTTCAGAGAGATTATGTAATTACATTGAATGTAGTTAAATACATTGAATACATGAAGTATAGCAGGTCATCTATAGTGCAAAAACATATGAATACATACTATAGATACATTTGAATACATATATACATCTGAATACATAAATTATATTAATTAAAAAAAAATTATATGAATACATTCATGGAATATAGCGAGACAGTGAATATAATGAAATACATGGAATACAGCGAGATACAATGAAATACAATGAAATAAAGACAATGAATACAATGAAATACATGGAAATACAACGAGATACATTGAAATACACTTTAAAAAAAGTAACAAAATCTTCAAGTTGCTCAGCCCCAAACTACGTCATCTTTGTTCAAGAACAGCCCTAATGTCGTCTCATCGAGTTGCAGCCCTAACCAAATATCTTTTGCAGCACAAATAATGTTTCATCGTCGTTTTCGATGTCTTCCATTCCAATCACTGCTTATAATTCCAACACAAGGAACTATCGTTCGAGATCAGAAATTGAGGAGTATGATCATGAAAAGCTACAGATCCCTACTTCACCAACTTCAACGCTCTGTTTTGGCTGTGGAATGGGAAATTCGAAGCGTTTTCGAGTCAGTTATCCAGTGAAGAATAATGTGAAGAAGGCGTTTTCGTCCTTTGTTGGCAATGGTGCAGCTTCTAGAAGATGATATATTATCTTTGAATTTGATGAATTACGGAAAACCCTCAAAAGATGTTTGATGTCCTCAAAATCGCCAAATTAAACACAAGGAACTACCATCGACGGAGGAGCTGATGAGAGAGAATCCATGAGTTTGTAGTCATGGAGAAAACTGGTGTTGAGAGAGAGGGTGGAGAAAAATCTGAAAGAATGGAGAGAAAAATAATACAAAGCGTATTTTATGGCTTATGGGTAGGAGGTGACCATAAATAGATATTTGGCTATAAAAATCAAAAGGTAGCTATTTTCTAAAATGGTATTTATTTAAAATATATAAAGTATCAACCTTTACTATAGGAGGTAAAAATTCCTATAACATAATGGCCTCACCATCCATTTTTTTCCCGAGTGGGCCCTTCACCCTTTGAACTAAGCAAATTGGCATGTTATTGCAATACTAATTGTGCAATCTGTATGGGTCAAAATCTATCTCTACAACGCTTAAGTTAGGATGGCATTAGCGAAATATTCCCAGGCCGCTACGTGTCGAAGTGGTTTAAGGAACGATGAAGGCCGTGGTCGAAGAGTCAGCAAGGACCGAGGTCGAGAAGTCATCGGGGATCAAGGTCGAGAACCCTTGACAGAGTTTAACGGCTAGTTTCAAGATAAGACATTAAAGTGAATATTCTAGTGGATATATTCTGCACATGTACTATTAGGGTTTCTAGGAACATGTTCTCGATAAATAGAAAGAGACACAATGATAGGGGACATGAGATATTCACTTGTAATATACACTTTGACTTTATAGAGAGAATCTGGTCTTATTAAAAGCACACATAAACAACCTTTTCACTAAGATTCTAACCTACACTTGTCTACTAGATCCGAGAATATCTTGGACATTCAAAGGCTTATCCATTATTCTTCATTGTTAGAAAGAACATCCATTGATTTCATCCTTTCTTGGTGACTCATTCGCATTTATTTATATAAATGTCATTTATTGCTTTTCATCATTATTTAATGTTACATTACTTTTCTAGGATTCTCGAATATTGTCATTATTGTGCACTTTCATAACCTTCGGAATAGATCTACCTGCTACCTATCATAATACCAAGAATTTTATCTATAGGATATTATTATTAACCAAGAATAACCCTCATTTGCATAGAGTTAATTAGTTGAACCAAGATCTATATTTTTTGTCAAATAATTTGGCGCCGTCTGTGGGGATTTCTTAATTAATTTTGTAGCTTCCTTTAGATCTAACCTCACAAACCCCAAGATCTTCTTATTTCTTTGTACGTACAAAAACCTATATGTAAGGGTAGCAAGTAGGCCGGTCTGGGACCAGGACTGGCTCGGGACCGCGGGCCAAACAGGCCAGGACCGGTAGGATCGATAACCGTGGGCCTGGTCCGATCTTCTAGGCCGGTTTAATAGGTTGGGACCGCTAGGACCAAGACCGTTTGGGACCAGGACCGGACTGGTCCCTAGCGGGCCAAACGGTCCAACGGTAAAAAAATCTAAAAAAAATCTGGCCGTTTGAAAAAGTTTAAAAACGGTCGTTGGGCTGTCAAAAACAGTCATTGGCTATTTACAAAATAGCCATTTAACACCCCCCCCCCTCCCCCACTTTGTTTTAACCCCAAATTTTTTATAATTACACTTTTTCTCTATTTTCAACTGTAAATACCCTCTCGTTCTTTCATTTTTCTTGAAAGATTTATGAAGTTTGTAAGAGATACCATGTAACTTGTATGAACAAAAATTAGTACTCTCTCCGTTCCGGTTTATGTGAACCTATTTCCTTTTTGGTCCGTTCCAAAAAGAATGGCCCCTTTCTAAATTTGGAAACAATTTAGCTTAAACTTACAATTCTACCCTTAATGAGAAGTTTTTATAACCACACAAATACTCTGGGCCCCTTTTTAACTTGTTTAGCACCACAAATTCTAAAAGTCTTTATTTTTTCTTAAACTCCATGCCCAGTCAAATAAGTTCACATAAATTGGAACAGAGGGAGTATGTATTGTGTAACTTGTATTTTGGCACATCTTGATTAGTTTCTTTTTCTTCTCAATGGTGGTATTAGCACCTTGTTGTGCTCGTTCCAGAGGGGGGAGGAAGACTAAGAATGATATTGCCATATTTTTTTAATGTTATAATAAATTACAAGGCATTGCTTTGAATATCTCTTTACAATATTTTTGTCTTTAGACTTTAAATTTGAATTAAAAAATTTTGGGTCACAATTCTATAATAAAATTTACAAGGCATTGCCTTAGATATTTTTTTTAACATCTTTTTGTCTCTAATTTCTATTTATTTTTTTAAAAAAAATAGCCGCTGGACCCACTTAGTCCGCGGGCCCGGACCGTTTAGCCCGGGACCATGAGTTCGTGGGCCCTATCCTGGGCTGGTTCCTGTAAAAAGACCGTTTAGCCCGGGACCGTTTGGACCGACCCACTTGTCACCTTTACCTATATGGCAGGTAACCAAGGAGAGAGGACGAAAGTAACGGGTGATCTCCCTAGCAACCTCATGAATGCTATCAACGAGAGTTATGAAATCCTAGGCGAAGACGTGACGCCCACTGCCTCCCCTGGGTGCGGAGGTCTCCTCCCCCACACCATTGTAGCATAACTAAACCCAACGGAAAAGTAGCTTCCACGTCCACAGAGAAGGGACGTTACCGGCTGTGAAAAAGCTCCTCGAAGCATCGATGACCAATACGCTAGTGAGCGTGCTCAACAGGCCCGCTCCAGGCACGACTACAGAAACCGCAAGAGCATGAACGATACAACAAACAGACGAACAGTGCAACTAGCCAAACCTTCCGACAACAGGTATACCTCATAATATTACTAACAGTGCAGGTGACAGCGCCCTTACTTTCGTTCTAAAGAGGATGGAGGAATTGAAAAAAGAAAACTAAGCACTCCGATACCACATGAAAGAACACCAAGAATGAGTCGACAAGATACCGGGCGCTCCTAAGTTGTTGCCAAAAAGTGACGCCGGGAGGTTCATAGAGCAGTCGTACAACGACGAGCAGCCCTGCATTCCATACCAAAGACCTTCAAAATGCCGCCCTACCTCAAGATATACGACGGAACGACCGATACCGAAGATCATGTGACCCATTACGTCACCGTCGTGAAAGGAAACAACCTCGCCAAGGAACAGGTGTCCTCTATTTTGCTGAAGAAATTTGGCGAAACCCTTACTGGAGGGGCATTAACATGGTACTCACAGCTACCAGTCCCCTCCATAGAAACTTGCGAAGAAATGGCCGATAAGTTCATAACCGCACATGCTGGAGCCAAAAAGGTTGAAGCAAGAGTAAACGACATATTCGCTATCAAGAAGTCCTTTGGAGAGGGACTGAGGGACTTCCTCGCTCGGTTTCAACAAGGTAAGGATTACTCTGCCGAACGTGTCTGAGGGGATAGTGGTTGCAGCTTTCCAGAACGGGTTGAGTAGGGATGGTTCAAGAGCAACTAGAAAACCGTTGAGCCGATTGATGAAATATCATCCAACCACTTGGGATGAGATCCATAATACTTATTATGCCGAAGTCCGAGCAAATGAGGATGACCTCAATAGACCAACTCATCGGCTCATCCTGATACAAGCCGAGTCCAGGAAAGAACAAAGAGATAACGTTAGGAGGGACTACCCGGTCTCGCAACCCATCAGGGAATGACACCAGCCATACATCAGGGCATCCGCCACACCTTCCCTCCGCTATGAAGAAAGCCCATCTAGGCTGAAGACTGGGACTCACCGAAATGAGAGAGGTATGCCCCCTTATTATCTGCTCACAGTTTTTGTGTATCACCTAAAGAAATAGTCTATGCTCTTGAGAAGCTCGAAACAAAGGTAAAGTAGCCACCAAAGATGAGGTCCGGCCCGAGCACCAAAAAATCCGATGTTCTCTATGAGTTCCACTAGGAACATGGCACAAAACAGAAGATTGCATCTCCCTCAGGCAAGAAGTCGTAAACATGTTGTGGCAAGGATACCTTAGAGAACTACTAAGCGACAAAGGGAGAAATAACTTCCCCAGAGAACACGAACACCAAGTTTCGCCGAAGCGGCCATCACCAGCTCGTACTATCAACATGATCATCAGTGGCAGTAACAACGCCTCTATCAACGACATGAATTTCACCACCACTCACAAGCTCAAGCGATCTATCACTCACGAACGGTACGACAGACTCGAAGAAAGTATCACCTTCGATGAGTCAGATGCCGAAAGTTTGACTTTCCCTCATAACGATTCCCTCGTCATTACTTTACACATTTTAGATACTGATGTCAAATGTATCATGGTGGACGATGGAAGTGGAGCGTGCATTATCCATCCCCGAGTCCTCGCCCAAATGAGACTCAAGGACAAGATAGTGCCACGCTGCATCACACTAACCGGTTTTAACAATGCAGTTGAGCAGACATCAGGAGAAATTACACTCCCTGTCTTGGCCGACGGCGTAACGCTGGAGACGACATTCCACATCATGGACCAGGCCACTGCGTACCATGCCATAGTGAGACGACCGTGGTTACATCCCATGAGAGTCATACCCTTCAGCCTATACCAAGTAATTAAATTCCAAACACCATGGGGAATACTCAACATACGCGGAAAACAACGTACGTCCAGGGAGTGCTACCGCATTGCCTTAGGCACACGACAACCCAACATAAAAAAGACAAAGAAAAGAGGGATAGCAATCAACAAGGCCGAGGTCGACACAAGATGAGACCAGAGACGTCATCATGGATATCGAAATGGTCAAGGCTGCAGACTCAACCATAAAAGAACTCGACCCCGTCCAATTAGACTCCATTGACTGTAGCAAAAAGGCCTACATTGGCTGCAAACTCTAAGAGCAAGGTAAATTCCGTCAATTCTTAATAACTAATGCAGATTTATTTGCCTTTAGCCATGCAGATATACCGGGAAACCCCCTGGAGATCGCCATACACAAATTAAACATCGACAAGTTCTACCCCAATAAGGCAGGTCTGACGTAAATTCAATCCTGCCATCAACAGTGTCGTACACTAAAAGGTGGAGAAACAACTAAAAAATGGTTCCATCAGGGAATCAAAGTACCCCAAATGGATCGCCAACGTAGTAATGGTCAAAAAGAAAAATGGAAAATGGCGTATGTGCGTGGATTTCACGGACTTAAACAAAGTATGCCCGAAGGACTCGTTGCCGTTACCACACATCGACCAACTTTTCGACGCAACGTTCGGACACGAGTTGCTGAGCTTCTTGGAAGCATACTCAGGTTATAGACAGATACTTATGGAAGAAGAAGACTAGGAGAAAAACACGTTCATCACCCACCAAGGAACATACTACTATAGGGTCATGCCCTTTGGGCTGAAGAACGCAGGAGCCACATATCAAAGATTGGTCACGAAGATGTTCAAAGACCAACTTGGCAAGACCATGAAAGTATATATAGACGACACGCTAGTCAACTCCGTAAAGGCAGATGATCATATCGACCATTTGAAGGAGGCTTTCGACATACTAAGGCGGTATAAAATGAAGCTAAATCCTGAGAAATGTTCCTTTGGCATAGCCTCTGGACAATTCCTGGGTTTTTTGGTGTCACAACGGGGGATCGAGGCCAACCCAGACCAGATGAAATCTATTTAGGGGATACCGGAACTCTTGACTACCAAGAAGCAAGTCCGAAGGTTGACCAGTCGAATCGCTGCCCTATCGAGATTCATCCTGTGGTGGTCTGATAAATGTTACTCCCTCCGTTCCAACTTATGTGAACCTGTTTGACTGGGCACGGAGTTTAAGAAAAAATAAAGACTTTTAGAATTTATGGTCCTAAACAAGTCACAAAGGGGCCCAAAATGATGTATCCAACGCATCGGGATCCGAACTGGGATTCGTACTGGAGGTCCCTAATTCGCTAGTCCATAAAGTGCCCAAATATGGCTAACAATGAGGCCGAGTATAGCCGTAATTGCAGGGTTGAGGCTAGCACTCAAGTATGGGGTGAAACAGTTGAGACTCTGTTGTGATTCCCAATTCATAATCAACCAAGTCACAGGGACTTTCCAAATCAAAGAACAAAGGCTGCAAAAATATCAGACCGAGATCTGCAAGCTACTGCCTAAGTTCGATGAATGCCAGCTCGACCAGATCTCACGTGTGCAGAATGCCGAAGAGGACGGCCTCGCCAAACTGGCCACAGCTACCAAAAGCATCACGATCGGAGATAAAAGTGTAGTCCACCTCCTCAACTCATCACTAGACCAAATCGAGATAAGAACCGTAAGCTTAACTTGGGATTGGTGCAGTCACATTATCACCTACTTGAAGGGCGACACACTTCCAAACAACACAAAAGGAAGCCAAGAAACTAAGAGTGCAAGCAGCTAGGTACAGTTTCCACCATAGCGACCTATGCTTGGGCCCGAACCAGACCCAATGCGTCCTCGAAGAAGTCCATGAACGCCACTGCGGTGCTCACCCCGGCGATCGAGCACTCGTCGGGATGGAATTAGCAAAATATTTCCAGGCCACTACGTTCTGAAGTGGTTTAAGGAACGATGAAGGCCGTGGTCGAAGAGTCAGCAAGGATTGAGGTCGAGAAGTCATTGGGGATCGAGGTCGAGGTCGAGGTCGAGAACTCTTGAGAGAGTTAACACGGCTAGCTTCAAGATAGGACATTAAAGTGAATATTCTAGTGGATATACTCTGCACTTGTACTACTGGGATTTCTAGGAACATGTTCTCGATAAATAGAAAGAGACACAATAATAGGGGTTCATGAGATATTCACTTGTAAAATACACTTTGACTTTATAGAGAGAATCTGGTCTTATTACAAGCACACATAAACAATCTTATTACAAGCATATATAAACTCCCTGCCCAATCAAATAGGTTTACATGAATTGAAACAGAGTAACAAGCCAAAAAGGGGTCACTAACATCCTCTATAAACTGTAGTTAATCATCTTTGAGAATCATTAATTGGACGTTTAATGGGATTCATGGAATTATATATGACAAACGTCCTTCTCCATTTCTGTGTTCTATTTCTATTGTTCTAAATAAATAGTAAGGAGTTATGCACAAGCTTCATTATCGCAATTAATCACCATATTCCACATACACACACACAAACACAAACGCTGAATATAAAACGTATCAAATGCACCTACACTTAGAATGTTACATTTGTATATATATATATATATATATATATATATATATATATATATATATATATATATATATATATATATATACACAAATTCCTTTTAATTGGCATGTACTTTTGGAAATTCCATAAAACAATTAAACGTGATACATGTGTGTCAAAAGAAAGAAGAAAGAATATTCACTAACATAGTGAAAGATAGAAAGAATCCATATTTAATGATACAAATTAAAGAGTGTAGACATTGTATGTAACTAATTCATTATAAGAAGCCAAGTAGTGTATGAGAAATTAGTCAGCAAGTCTCTAAACTTGGTAAGACTGATGAAAAGAGAGTAGTGTTTGTTCAGTATATAAACTTGAGGAGAATGGAGTTTGTTCCAAAATCCTAAGGCCAAGAATGATGAAATTAGTAGTAATAGTGTTAAGTGGGATATTATACTTGGGATTGGTTTTGGGAGAAATTAATGAAGAAAAAGAGTGTGGATTTCCAGCCATATATAACTTTGGTGATTCGAATTCGGACACAGGTGGAAAATCAGCAGCTTTTCATGAGGTTCAGCCACCCAATGGCGAGACTTTCTTTAACAGACCTTTTGGTAGGGTATGCGACGGTCGTCTCATCATCGACCTCATAGGTAAGAAATCTTTCACTATCAGTATATATATATATAAAAGTATATATTAAGCTTAAATATTTGGTTGGTTTATTCCTTTACAGCGGACAGGTTGGATTTGCAGTACTTGAGTGCGTATTTAGATTCAATTGGTGCAGATTTTAGAAATGGTGCTAATTTTGCAACGGTTGGTTCATCTATCTTGCCTGGTGGTTACAGTCCTTTTTACCTTGGTGTTCAGATTTCTCAGTTTTTACAATTCAAGAAACGTACTATTAATTTAACAAGTGAGTTCTTATATTTATTTTTTTACATAGAAATGTACTCGATCAGAATGACTCTTATAATAAGGTTAATGGCTATTGATCATATTCATGCAGTTACAAACTCGAAGTGGTCTTCTTCAAAAGTGAATATCAATATTCCAAAGCCAGATGATTTTTCAAAGGCACTTTACACATTTGACATTGGACAGAATGACCTTTCCTATGGTTTTCAACATTCCCACGAAGCACAAGTCCGAGCATCCATTCCACAAATCCTAGATATCTTTACTCAAGCCATTCATGTACGCTCTTCTTCTCTTTTTCTTTTTTTTTTTTTTTTTTCTACCGGAGATTGTTGGATCCCTCCTAAATTTGCAGGAAGTAAACAAAGTCTTTTTTCCAAAATCCACGAACGTCTCCTGATGATTCTGTTGTTTAATGGATTTCACTTGACCTAATTTTCATATGGAACATAATTATATGTGGAAAGTTAATAAAAAATTTAGTTACAAAGTATTAACACGTAATTTCAAAAGTGCAATGGATTCTATAATAGAAGGAGAGTCTTGGCGTAACTAGTAAAGTTGTTACCATGTGACCAAGAGGTGACAAGTTCGATCCGTCGAAACATCCTCTTGCAGAAATGTAGGGTAAGGCTATTAATGGATTCTATAATAAGAAATTAAAGATTTGAACCCATCAAATTTATATTCTGGATCCGTCAATGTTTAGGAGACATACGCTATTGTTTTTCTGATTGTTGGTTTTTCTTCTTCCTGTTAATACTTATTTACATACATAAATTTGTGCAGCAACTTTACATTGAAGGGGCTCAGAATTTCTGGATCCATAATACTGGACCCATTGGATGTTTGCCTTATAGTGTGATATCTTACCCACTGAAGCCTCGGGGCTTGGATGCCACTGGATGTATAGAGAGCCAAAATGAGGTGGCTCGAGAATTCAACAAGCAGCTCAAAGACAGAATATCACACTTAAGAAAGGAGCTCACTCATTCTGCAATTACTTATGTTGACATTTATTCAGCTAAATATAAACTAATTAGCACTGCCAAGAAACAAGGTACTATAATATTTTTATCTTTAGTTACTTTATAAATGAGCTGATTGTGTAAAGGGCAGCCCGGTACACTAAGCTCCCGCTATGAGCGGGGTCTGGGCAAGGGCCGAACCACAAGGGTGTACTGTACGCAACCTTACCCTGTATTTCTGCAAGAGGCTGTTTCCATGGCTCGAACCCGTGACCTCGTGGTAACAGCAACTTTACCAGTTACGCCAAGGCTCCCCTTCAAATGAGTTGATTGTGTAGTAATATCTTTTACACTGTCAGTCAGTGTATAGAACTTAAAGTCAGAAAAGGTATCGCTAATAATTTTATTTGATGGACAAGCAGGTTTTGGAGATCCAATGAAATTCTGCTGTGGTTGGTACAAAAATGGATATGAAGTTGCATGTGGGCAGACAAGAGTAGTGAATGGAACAGAGTATGGAAAGGCATGTAGTGATCCCACAAAGTACATTAGTTGGGATGGAATACATTACACAGATGCTGCCAATGTCTGGTTAGCCAACTCCATTCTCAATGGCTCTTTCTCAGACCCTCCTATTCCCATAGAACAATCTTGCACTCACTTATCAACAAGAGTTTAACCAGATAGTGCTTTGGTCAGGCCAATAATTCTGCAGTTTCCAAGAATATTACTGCCATATATATAGCTGCATATGTTGTATTTGTCTACTTCCACTGAGAAGCCATTTAGGAACTTATCAATCTTATTTTACGTATATGTATGGTCACCTTAATTTGTCTTGAAATATGAATATTTGAGGAAAAATGCTTTCCTCAAATATGTTGCTCCTGTCTGCTACTCCATTGTCTCATTTTGTCGTCTTTTATTAGTACTACAACAACAACTATTATACATCAATCCCAAGCAAGTTGCAACTATATAAGATGTAACGAAACTAAACCGACTAAATAAGTGAAAACACATGTTGCTACTTGTTTAACCAATCCAAGCACACAATATGTTGGGAAAATTTGCCATGATAAGTAGGCCATAAAACTAAATATACTTCATAAGATTCAAACAGCATTTTCAAGTCTTCTCCACAATGTTGATACATGTATACTTGGATGAAATGACACTCACTTCTGACTGAGTGAGGAACTATACATGAATTTCTAGGATCACAAGTATGCAGGAATCTGTCTCGCTTAGTCATTTCTTGCTACATTACGACGAAAGTGGTGAACAAAAGCTGATTCTACTTCAACTGATTCCATAGGTATGCATAATGTTATGGTGAACTATAAGGTTAATTTCAATAACAGGTTCATGTCACTCATTCAAGGTAAGGAAAAAAGACATCTTCCCTTTTCTCCAGAACACCACATCAGTGTATACTCAAAATGTTAAGCTATTTATAATTTATGAGAATAAGTTTCCAGGTAAAGAAGAAAGGAAATCTTGAACATCATGTAACTCCCTGTCTGCACAATATATATACTAACTACTCTACCTCGACCAACTTTAGAATCTATATACATCCTAAAACTTCTCAGCTCTTTTAACCACTTGGTGGTTGAAGGGGCTACTGGAGCATGCTTCTCATATCAAAGGTGAGTTGCCAGTATTATGCATTATGCAATCAAAGTAAGTCATCTTCTTGTTTTGGTTTCTATTGTAGGTGACACTTGTGATCCACCACCAAGAGCTGCAGCAGCAGATTCCACGTGAGTGAGAAGATATTCGTAGATCTTTTTTCTTATCCTATCGATGGTCTCAGAATCGATTTCGGGACTTTCATCATCCTTGTTAGTTCCAATCTCATCCAACCAGTCATTCACACTCTTCAGCTGGGATAACATGCCGGCTATTTGACCATTATCTGATAAAGCTGAGGCATCCACATCAGCATCCAAGAACCTTTCTACAAATCCTAAGAACCAGTCTTGGGACGCCATTCTTAACATCTCGGCCAAGTCCACAGTCTCTTCAAGACCGTCTCCTCTGACCCAATCCGCTGGAGGTGGAGATTTTGGCTTCTGATTAGCAGCTACCCCATCCGTTAAGCGCCGTTGATAACCTGATAACTGAATCTTAGAACTGACTGTTGGCCGGGGTTTGGCTTGGTTTTTTGCAGGTGCATTTTTGGTTGAGTTGTCAAGGACTAGCATAGGTAGATTTCCAGCCATAATCTTTGGGCTTGGCAAGGCAGCTGAAGTGGCACCTGGACTTGAAGTTACTTTTTTGGTATACACCGTGAAGGATGACAGATTGGTAGCCAATGCAGCATTGACCCATAGAGCTGCCTGTTTACGTTTTTGTGACACAACCTTAAGTTCTTCTTCGGATGGGTTTTCTTCATGATCTGATGCTGAATCAGCTGGCATGGTCTTGGATAACGACTCACCAACAAGACGAACATTCTTCAAACTTGCATGCAGCGCCAAGAATTGCTCAACAGCAGACTGCGGGTTATCTTCCTTTGCTGAGGAGCTCAACTCAGAATATGTGCTGAACAGTTACATTAAGAAATCAGCAATTGTTTTTGGGTTGCATAATAAAAGGACAAGTTCAGTTGACATGATGAATTAACAAACTATAAATTTACCACAATTTGAAAGTCTAAATAAACTCTTACAGAACCATGGTCCACTATTTGAGATCTGGTTTGGTCATATTGAATATTGATTTCACTTGCTAACCAGTCTACATTAGAAGAATAAATACAATTTTCACCTGAATAATTCCTTCCTCCAACATGTCTCCCCACACCCAGCTGAAACCTATCCCTACTAGGGGTGGCAAACGGGTGGGTTGAATCGGATATGGACGGGTCGAAAATGGGCAATACAAAACGGATAAATTATCCGACCCATATTTAATATTAAATGATGTGGATTCCTTCTAATTTTGGAAAACAGACATCTTACTCCAATGATAAAAAAGTTCAAGGGCATACAGATTAAATTATATTTATCCCGTAGTACTTCTTCAAAATCTATTCATGTGAGATTCAGCACCCTGATTGAGCAACTATGTTTCCTAGCAGGCAACAGCAAATTTATAGATAATTCCAGTTATACAGGACCAACAAGTAAAAGGAAAAGTGAAGTCACAAAGATCAAACCAGAAAACGCTACTGAAAATTAAAGGCAAGAGATCATTTAGCGCTCTCTTTTCTAATTCAATAAGAAAAGAACATTGGTAAACAATTTGGCTTCATCATATGGGACTATGAATCCACCGAAACAAATTACATAGGGCTGTCAGATGAAGGAAGATACATACTAACTAAAAGAAGAAGCAGTCACCCTTCTGCATGCAAGTTATTGATCAGAAACAAATTCCTTATCTCAACAAAAAATCCATACATATCCAGCCTCCTATCCCCACCCCATTTCACCATTACCGAGGAGCAAAGGAGATTTGCTTTTGGCAATTGCACCCAAATACAAGAAAATTTGTCTATGTGGGATTGAGTGTGCGTTCAAGTGAGACGAAGGGAGGTAAAACCGTAAGTGTGGAGGTGTTAACAATCATAATACCCCATGAGGTACATATCCAACTTATTTCAACCGACTCTGAATACATATGCAGAGGATAGATTAATTCATGTTGCCTCCCAAGAAGTCATCCTTTAACACTTTCAACGGAAGAATAAAATGTTCAATATGACCAAACCAGATCTCACAGATGAGCTATTAGTAAACTATGCTGTTATCCTCAAAATTTACCACATCCAGAGGCATCATAAACCAGTCTAGCTTTTGATATCATATTAAGGCAATTTCTTTTATTTATTTATACAAGAATAAGGTGCAGTGAAGGATTAGATAAAGATTGCACACAGCTCAACCTTCCAGTAATACCAGACAAGAAATAAAAAAAGAAATGGGCAGTAGATTAAAGTTGTTAATCACTTAATCTAACCAATTCCTTTTTCTAGTTTACCACCCATAAACACTATTTAGTACAGGCAACTAAAATAAGCATCACCATAATAAGATGATTAAAATTTTAATGCACATACTCCTGTCCAACTGACCTCCTGGAGCAAATGATGTGGTCAAAATTGCTTTTCCATACCATATGGCAGTGTAGGCTTAAGATTCTTTCAGTTAATCATTGTATAGTACTTCCGACAGTATGATGCATGAAATGAGGAACATACCTGTATTTTTCACCCACGCTAAGCTCGCCCAAAGAAAAAATGAAAGAGTTTGAAGTGGTACACTCCAAATTTTTGGTAATTGATTACACAGAATGTAGCTATAGAACCTGAATCTTTCTCAATTGGCTCCAACTTAACAAGATGTTACTAGATATACAGCCTAACTCTTTTGATTAGTTTTTGGTGCACCCACGAGTTCCCTTTTTTGTGTAGATGACTGGGTGTCTTTTTTTTATCAGGTAAATTTATGGGTTTTGTAGAGAACCATGTTTTCAGGTTGTATACTTGTATATGGGGTTTCTCCCCACAGCATCACCAAATATTACCTTACAACAACTACTACTACTATGCCTCAATCCCAAACAAGCTGGAGTAGTCTAACTCAATTGTCTGTAACTCGAAGTAAATAAACTGATTTTAGCTCTTAAAATTTACCTTTTACCATCCACGCTCAAATAGAAGGAAAAGCTACTAAATTCCTACTTACATACCAAAAAAAAAAAAAAGAGAAAAAGGAAGGAATACCTTAAACATCTAAGTAAGCTTTCTGTAGCCGAAGCCACCTGCATAGCCTCAATGGCTGCTATCTGTGCAGCATCTCTGTGCTTCATGACTTCCTATAACATGAGATGATATCTTTCAGAGATCAAATAAATAGTCCAATCCGCTAATGCATATAATTATCAAATAAGAAAAGACTTTATAAGCAAACACATCAGCCACACATGCCTACTCAAAATAGGAAACCTTTAACTAATAAGACCATCAGGTTACTCGAAAAAGAGGAAAATATCATATAAAAAAAGCATACCTTTCCCATCTTTGCCAGAGAAGATGGGAGTGAAGACCAGGCAACATTTCCATCTGCTAAAGTTCTATTACTGACAGCAACTTTGACCAAGTTTTCTCCTAAGCTATTATTGACCTCCCCAGGTAGCTTTCTTCCCATGGATGTTTTCTGCTTACTTGATTTCTCAGCATCAACAGGCTCTCCATTTGTGGAAATCTTCTTTAAGGATGTTTGAACCTTATTCTCCTCTTTGGATGATTTTGCGAGCATTCCCCTGTTATCTTCTTTATATGTCAGTTTCTCACTGATTGATTTTCTTGGAACCTGCACCACTCAAAGCATTTAGATAAAGATAAAAGGGAGAATACCATAATCTCTGTATTGAAGGCAACAAAGTCAAATATTTAAATAGATGTATATTTTAATCAGTTTAAACCAATACCCAAACCATCAGAAACTTTTTATCCTAGCCTCATCCATCCTTTCACAGAGTACTAGAAAATCATAACGAGACAACAACAACAACAACAACGCAGTATGATCCCAAAAGTGGGGTCTAGGGAGGGTAATGTGTACGCAAACCTTACCAGAAAATCATAACCAGACGGAAAAAAAAATACTTACAGAAGTGCTCCTTGTTTCAGGTTTCAAATCATGCTTGTTGACCCTCAACCTTGGACTTTCTCTACTCTTTAAATCCATATTCCCTTCCCAGCTCTTCCTCAAGGCCTTAGGCTCCAAGTCAAACCCTTTAACAATATTCTTCAATGAATTCCCGCTCAGCACTCTCTTCGGTGTTGGACTCACCCCACGAACAGAACTTGGCTTCTCCGGTCCAGGTTTAGCTGTTGCTTTCTCCAATCGTTCTAAGCCCTTAACCTTTGCTTGTAGCTTAACCCCATTTGAAAACTTCTCAAAAGAAGTTGGTAATGAATAACAACTCGTAGGAGATGTGGGTATTGATCTTGAGCTAGAAGACTTTAATTTCATTAGAGAATCTTTCCTATCCACTACATTTAACGCTAACTTCGACAAGTGAGACTTCGACCAAGTCAAACTAGGCTTCTTCTTTTCCACTTTTTCCTCTTTGGTGCCACCATTTGATCTAGAAACTGCAGATTTGTTATTGTCTTTCACCCCCACATGATTATTTGCCAATGCTTTCGAGGTTGACTTAGTCTTATCTTGTGATTTCGAACCAGGTGACAAATTAGCATTGTTATTTAGGAAACCTAAAGAATGAGTTGCAACTATATCTTCAGGAGTTCCAACACAAGGATGTCGGCCGGGGATCGGCCGAACCCCTCTAAGTATAGGCACAGGTGAAGCAGCTTCAAGCCTTTCAACATGAATAAACTGACCTAATTGAATCTTATCACTAAGAATAAGATCATCATGTTCATCAGGCAAAGATACATAAGTGGCATGAGAAGAATCCGATACCTTTAAGTAGAAACCTTGGTTTGGGAAAAGCTCACCACCTGCTAATGCTGGTACAATGCTAACCACTTGCAATAGAGATGACCTGTGCTCACCAGCAACTTTCACATCTGTGTTCATATGCTGAAGAAGCTTCAATAACACACCAGGTACCAAAGTAGCCATTTCCCCAATCTTCAATTAGCATTACCAGCCAAAAAAAATCCCAAATTGAAAAACTTCAACAAAGAAAGAGAATTTCAGAAAGATTACAGCTTTACAACTTTCACCCAAAGGGGTTTACACTTAAATCTCAAACCCACATAATAAATGTTGGTTTCTCATGAAAGGAAAATCCCAAAAACCACTCAAACAGATCAAATAAAAATCAAACCCTTTGCTAATAAAATAGAGAGAATAAAGCCAATGTAACCCTATTGAAAACTTGCTACCAAATTAGCTTTTCTTAAACCAATAAAAGATTCCAACTTTCAGTGAATCAAGCAGAGGAAATTCAAGAAATTGGTGCTATTAATGGTCAAGAGAAACAGAAAGGGAGAATACCCAAAAGGAATCAAGAAGAGGAAGGACCGAAACTGAAAGGGGGTTTGGCATTTATACATTTATGAGCAAAATGCAGGTAAATTATGTAAAAAGAATAAAAGAAGTGATAAAATAGAATAGTACTCCACTAATTTATTTGAAAAAACCCAAATAAGAAAAGGCATAGATAGTACTCCTATGTATTGAAAGAGTGCAGATGAGGAAAAGGGTGAAGGGTTACTCACATTGATTGCTCAGTACAAAGTGTCATATGGTTAAAAAGGCAGCTTTCTGAAGGGCATTTTTATGATTAGTTGTTTTTTTTCTTTTGATAATGGAAATATTATATAATAACTAGCGAAGTGGTCACGTAAGTATATAGTCCAGTGATCAATAAAATAGGTGGAAAAATAATTTCTTATCAATTTACATTTTGACAAATATAGTTAGTCGAGGTGGGACTAAATTAGTCCATACACCTATAACAACAACAATATTATAGGCGTTAAGTCAAATAAGTTGGGATCGACGACGTCACCATTATAGTAATAATAAAAATAAAAAAAGGAGGAAAGATAAGGAGAGAGAAGGGAAAACTTGAGAAGTGTCCAAATTGAAAGTGACTTCTGAACTGGGAGGTCCTTAAAATTGGCAGAGAAGAGTGAGTAATGTAAAAGGGAAGAGAACAAAATTGACTCCAGAAATGAAGAAATAATCACATGATTGATTCATTCATACTATTCAACCTTTGAAGATGGTCCTGTAACAGTTGCTGACACCATATTCATAAATTTTAAAGAAGTACAATAATTAGAACCATTTTGTGACTTGTATACTTGTATTTAATGTTTTTTATCTCTCTCAAAGAATGATGCTTTATATTGGGATAAGGTTTATTTTTCAGATGATATGACAGAGCCCAAAAATTGGGAGTTAAAAGGGAATCTAACAATAAGATACCTTATTTCCAAAATCTACTACTAGTAGTAGTATTCATTACTTTTACTCGAACCTTACCAAAAAATAAGATTAAAGTAAGACGTTTAGGGGTTGTTTGTTATCCCGGGAATATAATGGGAAATTAAATACATGAAATTATTTAGAGAATATATTTTTATGAAAGATGTTTGGTTCATTGGACTAAAAATGAGATATATATGGGAGAAAATGGACGCTCATGGCTATTTATAAAGTTGAAATTAAGAAAATGTCCTTTTTATATCTCTTATGTGTAAAAGAGACATTTTTTATGTAAAATTAAATTTCTCATGTGTAAAAAAAAGAGATAAAATAAAAAATAAACTTGTAAAGACCCACAAAACAACTAGCCTGGAATGGTTTAACGACTTTAGGGGAAGAGCATTGGAGAAGGGCATTTTGTCATTTTAGTGTGTATTCTAGGATCAATCAATGCTGAAATTACTATCTCACCCTCAATGTGGAATAGAATAATATCCAACCGCGGGATTAATTAATCCCCGATTAAAAAAATTTAACTAAACGCAAAATAAATAATTCCGCATCTAATTCCGAAATTATTATCCCGTATCCCGAATACCAAACGATCCCTATAGTTGAGTAAGATTTTTTTTTTCCTGGTTTCTATGGACAGATTAGAAGGCACATGATTCAAATAATTAATTGAAGCCTCTTTTTGTTCACAAAAAAAAAAAAAAAAACAAAAAAAAAAAAAACAAAAAAAAAAACAAAAAAAAAAGAAAAAGAAGAAGGTATTAGAGTTTTATTTGGCCATATGACCACGCTGATTTCAATGATGAAGCCAACATTATTGCAATAGGTAATTTTTATCTTATGTTTATTCTTGCCTTTATAAGTTTACCTTCCTTTTTTTCTTCTTCACGAGGAGTATAACTTAAAAGCACATGTTTGAATCAAGGGTATAGCTTGGCTGAACAATCACTAATGTTTAAAGTTTAAATGAAAAATAAGAAAAATTAAAGTTTAAATTACAACTAAAGCTAAAAATGTGTATAAAAAACAAAAAAAATATGGTACTTGCATTAGTGGTAGATTACAGTACCCATACAATAGTTCAAATATACACAAGTCTATCTTCATATTACAACAACAACATACTCAATGTATTTTTACGAGTGGGGTCTAGGGAGGATAGTATATTCGTAGATTTTACCTCTATCTTGTGCAGATAGAGAAAGTGTTTACGATAAACCATCGGCTCATGCAAGCATAATCACAACAATATATATATATATATATAGTAGTAGTAAAAATATCACTATCATTTTAATAAAAAAGGAAAATCTTTCAAGCAAATATTTCACATATTTTTTTATCTTGTGTAGGTCATAGGACATTGTGTGATTGTATGCAAATGGGTGCATGTGCAAAGGTTGTGGCATTGTCGGTTTATGGAAAATATTAGTTGTTGGAGATTCTTTGCAAGTAAGAAGCAGTGGCTTTAGTTGGCTTCTTAGTTGGACCCTCGCCCTTCTATAATTTTTTTCAAAAGTCGAATTGTTATCTTTCTCTAGGTAATTTCTTTTCTTTTCGTTTATTATTTCTGTTTTTTTATTTTTTATTTTTTATGATGGAAAAAGAATACTGTTTGGCTCAAAAGTTAACGATATACTTTGTAAGCGATAAAACAATCAAAAATAGAAAAGGGATAAATCGTAATCAAATATAATAAGCCTAGAGATGCAAAGATGATAATATTGGTGTAGATCTGATATTGCAAAGTGATAATGTTTACCAATAAGATATTTTCGTTAGAGGTAGAGATATAGAGAGAGAAAGCCAGAAAAATAAGAGAGTTGTATTAGATCAGATCCCCCTTTTACAATGTGGAGGTCTCCTTTATATAATAGGAGACCTTCCTCGAAAGAATCAAAAAGTTACAAAAATAGGTAACGTCTCCCTATCGTGGACGCTGAGTTCTAAACGATGTCGCTTTTGTCCTCACGGCCGAGTCGTACCCGCTACGTTGGTCGGCGTACACTCATTGGGCATACCCACTGGCGTAGAGATACTGAGGGTCAAATTTGACCCTATACAGTTAGTCCCTCCGCTCGTTGGAGACGCGTTCGGTGGGCGTCTTCGACGGGCGGAAATACGAACCTCGGCTTAGGAGAATTTGACCTCGACCAGGGGCGGCAATATGAATGAAGTGAAACATATGACGTTGTTGAGCCGCTGACGCGTGGCTTCCTTTTTGGAATGATGTCATCGCCTGTATGCATCATCATTATATTTGCCCCCGAGGCGGTTCAGAGGATGAAGTGACGTTTTGGTTTCCGGCGCACGTTTTGAATCATGACTCTTCGATTCCTGTGCAACTTATCCTTATAAGTATGAGAGAGGTTTGATCTGATTCCACTTTCAAGCCGCTGAAAAGTATTTTCTGATACACTCCTTTGCCTTCCTTTCTTGTAACCGTTATTTCGTGAGGGACTCTCCCACTTCTGTTGAAACCACACTTCCTATCGTCAGTGCTTTGTTTCTCAAGTAGCATAATCATGACAAAACGCGGACAGAATAATAAAAAGGCCAAAGATAATGCCCCGTCTAGGGTTCCGCCATCTTCCGGTGGTGAAGAGGAAAAGGCGGAGAAGGCCCTTGTTCCTCTCAGCGTAGACAATGTCCTTCCGAAGGAGACGCACGTTCGCAGGGATTTTCCAACTAAAAGCCCTGATCTTCCCTGGGAGCACAGCGTTTTACTACAATCCCATTTAGATGATCTGCGAGAGACGCACCATATTCCGGACCACGTGGAAATGGTTCCGGCCAGGACGGATTATGCCAATGTGCACCGGCCTGGATATTGCACCTTCTATGAGTACCCGTTCTTGATCGGTTACGACCTTCCAGTCTACCCTCTGGTGGAGGAGCTTTGCCGTTTTTACAATGTGTGACCGGCCCACCTCACTCCCTATACTTTGAAGGTGTGCCGTATCATGACCACTTATGCGGCCAGGGCCGGGTGCAGCGTCTCGGTCCACCACCTCTTACAGTTGTTCAGCGCTGGTTACCTGAGGGGGTACCATGCTGCAGTTGAAAGGTCGTAGCGCAAAGGGCTTGGTCGTTAAAGCCGATGATAAGCCCAACCGCCGCTTTTGGCGTAAATATTTCTACATCAGGACGGAGCACCTGGTGTCGAATCCCGAGGGGTTCCCGGAAAGATGGAATCCAGAAC